TCTCCCACGGCTAGGATTAAAGGTGTGCACCACTAGGCCTGGCATGAGTCACTTGTTACTTTGGTTCTGTGGGCAGCAGATGGTTTTGAGCTCAGCTCTCTGGTTCTTGGACTGAGGCTGAGGGACTGTAACACAAATATGAAGCAGTTCACCCAGGGATTTCCACTGGTGCAGGACACTTGCATACTCCCTGTATTCTTTTAGTTCAGGAATGAGAGGTGTGTTTTTATTTAAAACTAGATATATTACTATGAATTTCTGACCAGATGAGGAAGGGGGAGAGGGACTTCCTGCATCCTGGGCCTTGTAGGGTTACATTGGTGCATTGCATTAGGGAAAGTTTCCTCTGGTAAATTTTCACATGGAAGCACATTTCACTCCATTCTCTAAGGACTCCTGTTAGCTGAGTGTTTAATGTGTCCCATTGAGAATGGCAGTTTTCAGCACTTGGGCTGGGTGTTGTCCATGGTCTGGAGTCCTTAAGTGGTGTGGTACTTACTGAAGGGCTTGATCCCAGGTGGGGAACCAGGGATTCACTGCTGGGATGGTGGATTTTCAGAGGATAGCATTTCCTGGCTTCCCTGCCACATGGTCTGGTCCAAGGCATTCTGATAATGGCTGTGTAGCTGCTACTGCTGACAGAAGGCCCTGAATCTGGTGCTGATGTCCGAGGTTCCTACTTCTTGTCAACCGGGACTTCCAACTGTGCCATGGAGTCCTCAGATTGAATTAGGTCCATTTTTTCCTCATGCTGATGGACATTTCTTGGTTAAGGTCCCTTGAATCAGTCAGTCATCTTTATCCTGCAGGAGGCTGTTCACTGTTGGCTCCATGCTCAGGAGGGCTGCATACATTTGCAACAAAGCTCTGCACAAATTTTTTTTTCAGATGAGAGGATGCTCTTTGTTTCTGTTACTTAGAAAAATAATAACAGGGCTGATTTGATCTAGTTCAGTGAGAGTTTTAAAGATAAAACAAACTTTTCTTTAGCTTCAAAACTCACTTGTGTGGTTAGTTACATTCCTCTTCTTTGTGACAGAATACCTGATAGAAACAACTGAAGAGAGGAAGGGTTTAGTTAGGCTCACAGTTCAAGGAGGTACAGTCCATCATGGTGGGGGAGGCGCAGCAGCTGAAGTGGCTCTGGGAGCTGGAGTGTGAGGTGGCTGGGCACATCAAGGCAGTAGTCAGGAACCCTCAGGTCTGTAACACTCAAAGCCTTCCCCCCGTGTCCTATTTCTGTCATTCAGACCTCATCTCAAAATTTCCACAACCTCTTGAAACAGTGTCACAGAGTCCAACACATGCGCCTGTGAAGGACATTTTACACTTAAACCATAATAGTAAATCAACGTTACTTAGAACCTGTAGCAGAAAAGCACTCCAAAGTACAGTTGCTGTGGGGTGGACATTGAGGAGAGAGGGTTTGAGGGGTTACCAAGAGCCGTGCTGGAGCCCGAGTAGCTTCTGGCAGGAGCAGCATGGAAAATGTGAGGTGACTGGTTGATGTTGTGGTTCAGATCAGATGTCCCCCAAAGGCTTGGCTATGGTGGCATTACTGAAAGTAGAGGGCACTGTAGGAGGTGGGGCCCAGTTGGAGGACATAGGTCACAGAGACATGGACCTGAGGAGTATGTGGGTCTCTCTTCCGGCCTCTCAGTCTTCTCTTTGCTTCTTGTCCACCATGAGGTAAACCAGTTGGCTCCATCCCATGCTCCCAGCCAATATGTTCTGCCTCACTGTCAAGGGGTGCAAAAGCAAGGGAGCCAAGCTTCAGTAGCCTGAAGCTGCTGGAGAATGAACACAGGCCTCATGAATGCTAGACAAACACTGAGCCAACTGAGCCCCAACTCAGGATGTGTCTCTGAAACTTCTATATTCTAACGGGAAGGAAACCACATTTATTGGTGTGGTATGCACTGTTAGCAAGATATTTCTGACGATTGGTAACCACTGGACCCCCAACTTAAATTATTTTGACTTAATCAAAAGACTTATCTGTGTAGTTTAGACCTTTCTTCTATTATGAGCACGCATGGCTTTGATGAAGTATATATGTATTTATAATTTTATCTCTGTTTTTGGTAATTGGAAATAATTTTTGATGAGTGAAGACTCTGTTGATAATACTTGGCTTAGAAAAGAGAAACAGGAAATCTGTGACAGTTTCCTTTCTTGCTCCCATTTTGAGCACAAATCTGCCACCTACTGACTGCATGAGCTTATATGGCTCCTTCTGTATAATGAGGGTCATCGGAGGCACAATACACACTATTGTGAACACCTACAACCTTGCCTTCAGTTTGCAACCATACAAACATTAGCATCTATTTTTCCCTTAAAAAAGATTTCATGAATGTATTCTCTGATATGACATTGACATCATAATTTACATTCATATTGTTTGTGGTGCTGAGATTAACCCAGGGCTTCCTACAAGCCAGGTAAGTGCTCTAGCACTGAGCTACACCCTCAGTCTCATATTCATATTTTATTTTTGAAAGTTGTTTTATTATCTTTTTGTCTTGTTTGTTGAGGCAGAGTCTCATTAAGTAGCCTATCCTAGGTCCTCTATCTTGTACCCTTCTGCCTTCATGGTTCCAATGCTTGGATTATAGATATACAGCATCACACCTGGCCCTCACATTCACATTTTAATATCAGACTTAAAGATACATAAATATAACTGAAGATTTTTCCCACCAAATATGTTTGAACCAACCATTTCCCACCAATACATATTCAATTAAAAATTCTGAGGGTTATGGGGCTAGAGAGATGGCTCAGCAGTTAAGAACACTGACAGTTCTTGCAGAAGACTGGGGTTCGAATCCCAGCACCCACATGGCAGCTAACAGCTGTCCATAACTCCAGTTCCAGGGAATCCGACAGCCTCTTCTGTCTTCCATGGGCATTGCACGACACAGGTGAACTTACATACATGCAGGCAAATACATGCGTACACATAAAATAAAAATAATAAAATATTTTTAAAGAAAATTCTGAGGGCTAGCAAGATGGCTCAACAGATAAGGGTGCTTGCTGCCAAACCTGATGATCCTTGGGACCCACATAGTAGAAGGAGAGAACTGACTCTTGGCCTGTGCATGCACATGCATGTGCGCACACACATAGACACAAATAAATGCAATAAAAATTTATTAATAAATTTTTTTGAGATAGATTCCGTGTTGCCCAGACTGGGCTCCAATTCCTCAAATCAAGTGATCCACCTGCCTCAGCCTCTTGAGTAGCTGGGACTACAGACAATGACACTGTGTCCAGATTTTAGACATATATATATATATTTATTAAAATATTTCAAGTATACAAATTTAAATATTTAAAAATGCAGCAGTAAGTTTTTATTTTAAAATTTATTTGCTATGCACTTTAGCTTAAACCATGAAGCCATAATGACGCTAGCTGGAAAGAGCTATTCTGTTGTGTGGCTCCAGATTAGCCTGCTTTTCCTTTTTTGTCTCTGTGATTTCTTTCTTCCTTCAGGGGTTGGGTGTAAAAGCTTTGGCATCTCTTGGGTTTTCTGATACTCCCTTTGCATGTGTGGTCAGACCCCTCCCCAACTGCCCCCACCTCCAGTGCTCCAGATCCTCCGGGGAAGTTTCCAGCTCTGTGTCTTCCATCTTGATTCCCCAATGGAGTCATTCTCAGGTGTGAGAACACTTTTAGGGCTTCTCTACTTTTTATTGAAGTAGTTTATAGGTCAAGGGAATCTCTAATGAGCTCTGAATGGGGAATATTTTAGAGTGAGGGATTTGATTTGAAGAAGTTCATTGATTTGTTCTTGAATGGACGGACCCCACCTTTTGCCCCGTATCTTACCCAGGTAGCCTCTTTTGCTCACCATACTCACCCTGCTGAGTGCCCTGGAGGGACAGGAGAGTGATAAAGCCTTGAAGTAAACAACCCCAGAGCTTTAGCAAATTGGTCTGGACCACTGGTTAGGCACCTGCAGTGTCTTACTTGCTGTTGTTATTATTATTCATTATTATTATTAGTGTGTGTGTGTGTTTATTTTGAGACTGAGTCTCATGTGCCCCAGGCTGACTTTAAACTCCCTGTACAGCCAAGACTGACCTTGAACTCATCCTCCTGCCCTCACTTCCCAAGTGTTGGAATTATAGGCATGTGCCACTACAGTTGGGTTCAGCACTGCGTTGTTTAATATTCACAGTGACTTTAGGAATTTGGCTTTACTGTCTAGAATTCCCCCAATGAAGAAATAGTAACAGAGGGTCAGTTACTTTGGGTTGCCAACCCCAAAGATGAATAATAATCCTTACGATTTACCAAAATTTGTTGTACACTGAGTGTGTGCACAGGTAAATGCTTAACCTGTGTCATTCCATTCAACCCCCACACTGGTTCTTCAAGCCAGGTTTGAGTACTATTCTCATTTCTTGGAAGAGGACACAGGGAACCATTAAACAACTTGGTCATACAACATAATAGTAAAACAGAGATCCAGGCCTAAAAGTACTGAAGCCTATTGAGCTTTACTAAGCTCCTTGTAAAAATGACATTAAGGGACTGGGAAATTAGTCAGAATATTGTGGCCATATTTTTTAATGTGTTTATCTACATATTTGCATGTGTACACAGGCATGTGTGTGCACGTTTGTGGAGGCCAGAGGTTGATGCTGAGGGTCTTCCTTGATTGCTCTCCACCTTATGCATTGATAAAGGATCTCTGCCTTGTACCTCATCAGTTTGCCTCGTCTAGCTAGCCAGACTGTTCTGAGGATCCTGTCTCCAGCTCCTGAACACTGGGATTACAGATGGGCTATCATGTCTGACCAGGATTTATATGACTGCTGGGGATCTGGACTCCAGTCATCTCACACTTTACCTGCTGAGCCATCTCCCAGCTCCATTCTGGCCATCTTTGTAAGGCCATTTTGCTCAAATTTCATCAGAGTTTTCATTTTTGCTGCAGCGAATATACTTAAATTATATAAGAAACACGTGTGAAGTGCTTTTATCACTTTACTAGAACAACACAACAAGGTATGTTTCAAATCCACTTGATAAGAAATATTATAATAAATAGTACATAAATAAATATAAATTAGCTCACATACTTTCATGAATATAAAATATATCAATAAATATATTTAAATAAGTGGCGAGCCAGTGTTTCCATAAACACTTTGGTACATAAATAGTAGCTTATTCTTGCTCTTCTGTGAGCACATTTTGGGAGGACTTTTTCTCTCCTTAACAATTTGTTCATGAAAAGTTATGAGCAACATATGCATATTAAATATGAAGGTCATGATTAAAGGGGTCGTGCAAAGGCAGCTGTGCCACATACCAGCAGGGCATGAGAGTGGGACAAGAGCTAAAGATTCCTGGAGGAGCGTAGGTCCAACCAGATCAAGGCCCCTCTTCCCAATTCTCAACCCACCTCTTATTAAAGTTTTTTGTTGTTGTTGTTGTTCATGTTTTTATGAAAGTGGCACTAAGGTTGGGAGGGACTTCAGCTTTTTAGGAGGAATTCAGATAGCTCATCACTCTACTGATAGTCACAGTTCGGATACTGAAAGCATGAAGCAGGATACAGAGCTTCATTTTAAGTTTATAAGAATCCAGTTCTTCCAGGGCAGGATTCTGAGGCAGAGTCTCATCATTGAAATTCAGAGCCTAAAAAGTAAATACCAAGCATAATGAATATAGTATTTCACAATTAAAATACACTCATCTGTAAAAATAGATGAATTAGTACATAGCTCAGAGCCTGAGCCTAGTCTCTCATTTTACTCCTATAACCACCCCATGGTCTCCTCCCATGTCCATTGCAGAAACTACGAAAAGAAATGCTCATTTCTAAGCCTCTTCAGTGAGTGCTGAGAACACCCAGAAACTTATCAGAAAACCGTCATCAGGGCTCATGTTTTAAAAAGGTACAATTCTACAAAATAGCATCTGCTTCAATATCTAAATTTTATAGGTCACATTAAGAAACTCAGTTCTTTTTAGAACAGGGGGGTGAGGGATTGTGTTGACCAGAGCTCTATTTATCAGACTTCTCTGTCAGTAGCTGACCTGTCTACTGTAGAAATACTATTCGTAAAAGATAAACCAGCAGCAGATTTCCCATTTTTAACCTTTGATTTGATACCATAGAAAAATCTTAGGTTTGTCTGATGGTTGATACTTTCATTTACTCTTTACAAAATCCTCAGAGACAAGTATGGTGTGTAAAGTCATTCAGTTTTACAAATGGAGGCAAATAGAGGTTAACTGAGTGAGCAGAGTTGTCTATTCCTGGTAGAACTAATCTCACTGCCCAAATCACCTATTCTCTGGTCGTGTAATTGAAATATCCACTCTCATCTCTGTGTGGTAGATCGTTTGACACCTGAGTAAATGTCACTGTCTTTCAAACAAGTAATTTGACAGTGTATACATGAAATTAAAAAATAATTGCTTTTCAGACAATGATTTCTGAGCATATTTTTCATCCCTAGTCACCCATACACTCACCTCTCTTTTGTATGTTCATATTTCTATGTTTTGTGTTAGCATCGAGGGCTGTGATGGCCCAGAAAATCACACAGCAAGTTCCCACGGATGGGTAACATTGTAGATGTCCCCAGATGATGGTGTTATTTACTTTGTTCACATTTTGGGTTCAAACCGGGTCATCACTGGGCACCAGCCCCACTTACTTTCTCTAGTAATATCTGTGGATAAGCATGCTGCCCCTTGCATGGTCAAAAAAAATTTTTTTGATAAAAAAGGGTTTTTCTTGAGTGTATAATATATGCATGTCTATGTGCGGAGAGCACAGGAAAGTGTCTGGTGCCCTGTGTCATATTCCTTGGAAGCAGGGTCTCTCCCTGAGACACTGGCTAGGCTGGAAGCCAGCAAGCTTCAGTGATCCTCCTGTCTCCATCCACCCTCTACCCTTAGCTCTGGGGTTACAGGCCCATGGGTGACCACACCCCTGTTATTTCATGGGTGCTGGGAACCAAATTCAGATCCTCATGGTTGCACAGCAAGTGCTCTTAACCACTGGGCTACCTCTCCAGTTCCCATCTTGGATCCTCATAAGAGAAGATAAGTATCAAAGAACCCTTTTGTAGGGGTTCCCGACTCTGCCTCCTACAGGCTGTGTGTGTGATCTAGGACAAATTGGCTTCACTCTATTAAGCTTCAGTTTCCTTCTTTGTGCAGACCTTATTTGGTTGTCTTGGAGATGGCATAAGAAATGTAATAAAACCATTTGCAAAGATCCTGGGGCCTACCACCAGGTCAACAAGTAGGAGGCTGCCTTTCTTAATGTGGCTGCTTGTATTTGTGCCTACTGTAAAGGGTTGTCTCAGCAGATGTAACCCTCCAGAGCCTTTAACTTGAGTGGGGGAAATTCAGTTCTCTCCAATCAAGGAAGAGCTGATTTTATCACATCCTTATCAAGGACCCTGGCTGGCTGTCTTTAGCATGCAGAAGGTGCTGTCACTGAAGGGATAAGGTCTTACCCGCATCATCTCGTCAATAGCTGCTAGCATGTTCTCATCCAGGATGATCTGCCTTGGATTATCCTTTACAAGCTCTGTATTCATGGCCTTGAACTCCATCTGGTACATCTTCAAGTCCTCATAGATACTGCTAAGGCACGGGGTCTAGGTGACATGATAAAATAGGAAGGAAGCCATTGAGATGGGTAAAAAATACATTCCTCCATTGCGTTGAGGAGAGAGTGCTGTGTCTTACCATCATCAAAGAAGTCTTCCCAGAGCCCAGACAGCTACCAGTCTAGAGGAAAGAATAACCAGGCATCAACACTGTGAATCTATCATAGGGGAAATTTTAAATAACCCTTTAGTTTGCTTACTTACAGTTTTAAAAGAAGTCTCTCTGGAAGCCAGGCAACTCTCATTCTAGAGAAAAAGACATACACCAAGAATGTTAATCCTTAATATAAACCTCTCTGATGTTTCCTCTCTGACTTTTCACTATGGTAAAAATGTAACAGAATTCACCATCATAACCATTTTTTGTGTATATGTGTAGGTGATCCTGTGTGCACAAGTGTGTTTGCATGTGCACATGGAAGCCAGAGGTAGATCTCTGGTGTCTTCTTCAATCACTTCTACACCGTATGTTTTGAGCTAGGGTCCCTCACAAACCCCAAAGCTCATGGATTTTGGTAGACTAGCTGACAGCTGAGCCTCAGGCATCTTCCTGTCTCTGCCTCCCCTAGCACTGAGGTTACGTGTGTGGGTGCTGGGGATTCAAACTCAGGTCCTTATGCTTATGTGACAATTGTTTTACCAACTGAGCTTCATCAAATACTTCTGCTTATTAAATATATTCATATTGTTATGTCATTTTTCCCCAAATCTCACTTCTGATGGATACATGTACATTTATGGAGGCAGTTAAGTTTCCTTGCATAGCTTTTAATTGTATTGCATGCTTCGAAGGGCAAATCCTCTTTATACCTTGACTAGTTCCAGTGGTAAACAGGCCTGTAGTGTGCTGGTCTTGTCTTTTGTGATGTCTTCATGATCAATCTCTTCAGCAGTGCAAGAATAGTGTTTTAGAATTTGTCTGGCCTGTAAAAATCACGAGGAGAAACTGAGATGATACTTTTACTACGATGGCCGACTCCCTGTGAGGCTGGGACCCCAGGGTGCCAGCAAAGCGGGAATTGGCTGTCATTGACCTTCATTCCTCTGACCTGTAGGAAATTCAGACTCTTGATAAGATGAAAAGAAACAGGCCACCTACATTGTCTCTCTACCTTTCCTCTTCCTTTGCTTAAGATGTTTCTCAGCATGATATCCCCCCCCCCCCCCCCGTTATGTGAACATTGCTGTCAATCCAGCAGGCTGTGCTAATCAACATCTATACCACACTGTGACACTTGCCTCTGGTGAATTCTGTTGTTTTTCCTTTCACCAAAGCAGCTGTGCTTTATGAATATCTTTTTAAGATAATTTCTAAAAGGGAACTGTTAAGTCCACAGCTTGATGGCTATAACAAACATGCAAGCCCTAAAAACTAGTTGAGATTTAATTTACAGCACACACAGAGACCTTCTCTTGCCTCCTGGTGTGTTGGTAAGCACTGTTGAACAACAGAATTACACAACTATCATAAGATGTCAACAGCGTTCTGATTAAAGGTTGAGATACTTTTTCCATTCAATTATGGTACTATGGTACTATGGATGTGACAAAGAAGGGACAATGGTTTGCTCTTTTGGATGCCAAGTTCGGCTGTAGAGATAGGCAAATGCCCAAATGACTAAGAGGTGTGTCCAGAGGCAGGAGATGCTGAGAAGAGTGTGAAGGCTCTGGAAGGGGCAGAGAGAGATGCTCAGGACATGCTAGAAGGTTTTCACACCCCTAAGATCGTGGATCACATTATGTGAAATGGTAAAGGGGAATTAGGGTACAAGTGAGCTCCAGTTTGCTAATTACTCACTCATATAGTAGAGAGACCATCTCATATTATCTGGGTGGGTGAAATGTAGCCACAGGGTCCCCAGTGGGGAAGCAAAGCAGAAAGGTCAGCCAGAGTGACATTGCTTGAGGAAGCCTAAAGTCATCCTTGTTGATTTTGTTTTTCATTACTGGGGATCTAACCTGGGGCCTCATACATGCTAGGTAAGCGCCTTACTAGTGACCTACATCCTCAAGCCCTAACTTTGAAGGTAGAAAAAGCTGAAACCCAGGGACGCAGCAGCTTCTAGAAGCTAGAACAGGCTCAGGGGTTAAGAGCACTAGTTACTCTTGCAGAGGACACAGGTTCAGTTCCCAGCACCCACATGGAAGCTAGCAATCATCTGTAACTCCAGTTCCAGGGGATCCACCATCCTCTTCTGACCTCTGTGGGCATTGCATGACACAGGTGCACTTACATACATGTAGGTACTACACTCATACACATAAAATAATGAATAAAATATTAAAAAAGGATTTTCTAAGAAAAAATCCACTATGGCTGGGGAGATGGCTCAGTGGTAGAGCACTTGGCTAGTATGGGCAAGGCCGGCACCCAAACAAGGAAACAAACAAAAACTAAAACAACAATAAAAGAAAATAAAACCCAAACTAGGAATAATAAAAATGAAGACACTATGTGATGACATTAGTAACAGAAAACACAGGCTGTTTCTGGAGGCATCTAGCTTGTCTGGGCAACCACGTTTGAGTAAGCGTGAAGGGCGATGTGGAGATGTGCCCTGTGAAGTTCTTCAGACCTTTAAAGGAAATCTGGGAACTCAGATTCAGCAGCACCAAATTCAAACATCAAAGTAAAATAGAAAACAGTATCAGTCAAACTATAAATCCATGGGCCAGATAGAGCCTGGGTATCGGAAGTGTCTGTCACTTCTGTTTACCATAGCAGCTGTGTGATATTTGGAGCAAATTTGACCAAGTCTTGGTATAAGAAAACATCAAACTGAATTCTGTGACATTTTGACCCTCAGCACTTTATCTGGCAGCAGAGGAGTTAGCTTTTTCACATGGAGCATCTAGTTAACTTGGAGCTCCTACATCTTGTCCACACTGAAACTTTCTTGGGGAACCAAAGCACTTATCTCTGCAGGTGTCATTTGGGGAGCCCCGTTTCTAATTAAGATTTACTGAGTTTGAGTTGGCTTAAACAGTTGGCAGTGCATTATTGAAGATCAGAAGGGAAGGAAATAATTCTTCCAGAAGGCCTTGGGGCATTGAGCTTATTTTGAGATATTCATAAAGCAACAAGCTGGGAAGTCCTTAAGAAAGGCTTAAAAACAAGAAAGAAAGAAAGAAAGAAAGAAAGAAAGAAAGAAAGAAAGAAAGAAAGAAAAAGAAAAAGAAAGAGAGCTCCCTCTCTCCCCTCCTGTGTGTGAATGTGCAGATGCATGTATGCACATACTGTTGGAAATGGAACACTGGTCCTTACTCATAGTTAAGTAAGAACTCTACTACTGAGCTATAACTCTAGTTCCAGTGGATCTTTGAACACAGTAGAGTGTGCTATGGCTTTGCGACAAAAGCATGAGCAAATTTCAGCAGTTCTGAAAAGGAAAATATTTTTGCATTAAAATATAAACCCTAGGAAAAATGAATGAAGCCATAAATAAAACTAGAACACACATTCCATAGAAAATGAAGGCTGTGTAAGACATGTACTGTCCTAGTCCCCCCTGAAATGTGTTGCTCCAACAAGGAACTGTGTCACTGTGTTAGACACTGGCAAGCAGTGGGAGGAAAAGAGCTAATCATCTTCGTTGCTTGTGAAGGCACCTAATGACTGTCTCCTGGATCAGCATGCAGTGGGGAGAAGCAGAGAGCCCCTGACACAGTTCCATCTATGTTGGCAAGCTGGCAGAACACTGTAATTATCCACTTTCCTCTGTGTAGACACAGCCCAAATGGATGTCATAATTTATTGCCACTCTTTATTACCATTCTTTCTCCAGGGAACACAGTTTCTTTGAGATTCTTTAGTTAGTTGGGCCATTTGCAAAGTCTCCCTCTACCAAACTATAACCCCTTAGCAGGGACCAGCATCAGTTGGGAAGAGTCCCTTCAGTAGAGGAGTTTCAAAGCCAGAAGAAGAACGGAGAAACTCACCTTCCCCAGCATGTGGTTGACAGTCCTCAGCAATTTTTGGGAGTGGTTAAAACACTGGGCTGATCTGGACACTGGTGTGGGGAGGTTCCTGGCCAAACTGAGGTGGTTCAACAGGACAAGGGTGACCAAAAGAAGGCCTAGAAGGCAAGTGAGGGTTAAGCTGAGCTTATCAGCCTGGTACAGCCCACCTGTATCGCAAGCCATTCCAGCCATCTTTGCCCATTCATGGTACTGTCCTCTCTACACATACATGCCAACCCCTTCCTCACAGCTGGAGCAAGCAAAGGAAAGCAGCACTGGATGCTAGGGCAGAAGTCAGCTCCCTGGAAAGGCCCAGGATGAGCTAGGATAAGGATGATGGACTCAATGCTCCCCTAGAGAAAACCTCTATATTTTGAATGGGGAGGCTGAGGTCAGGTTCAGACTTAGAACCCTATGTTTTGGTAATAATGACTCCTCAATTTGGAGCTGGCTGGGGTCGATGTTTCCTAACTCTAGCTTCTAGGTCAGGTCTCAGGTTTTCTTTCGCCAAGTGGGCATGATAACGCATGGGCTGTTTTAGAATGGAGAGACCACGCCTGGAGCAGCACAGGGCTAGCGCAAGCCTCCCTCCCATCTTCCCTCGCAGTGCCCCGGGGCTGCTGACAGTCTCCCCTTAGCAGATCCAGGCTTCTGCCTAATCTTCCCTGGGTGTCACCCTGGTCCCGGCCCCAGCGGGCTACTCACGGCGTGAGGGACTCATGCTGGGCCGGTGCTGCTTGGACTCTGGGTGGGCTGCTGGACTCGAGCCGTGGGCGCAGCAGGTGAGGCGGTTGGGATACTGACCCCGGAGGACACATTTTTATAATTGTCTTGAGGCCCGGCAGGACTTTCCCAGGACTATGGCCTCTTGCTTTCTCTCTCTATCTCTCTCTACATCAGCTTCTCAGTGACACGTGCGGTCGGGCCTGCGGGGCTGGCGACGCTTTCGTATTAACTCTCGGAGTGCCCGGCCTCCGTGGGCTCTGGGACCGTCCCGCCTCCTCCCACCGCACTCAAAGCGAAAGCGAAATAGGCTGGCAGGTCTCAGCTCGCAGCTCTGGTCCCAGGCCGGCTGGGCCCGCCCTAATACCGCCCCGGACCAGCCACGGTCATCAGTAAGTCCTGCCCAGCGCCCCCTCCTGGCGTAGGGAAAGGTGCCACCCACTTATCTCCATCAGAGACACCACGGCTGACAATGTATTTTGAGGATGGGTCCTCTCTCAAACATAAAAGTGACGAAACCAGTGAGTGTGGCTGTACAGTACTGCTCACTTAGAACCTACTTCGACAGCACACAGAATAGTTTCCATTTGGTCCAATGGCTGCCTAGCATCCTAGAAGGAAGCGCCCAGAGAGAGCCCATTGCTCAATAGGAGCAGTGGGGCCCAGTGGGGCAAAGGCTCCTATGATCAGGCCCTGGATCTGCAATGAATTATTAGATGGCTTCTAGTGAGATAGATGCAGGGGCTAGCTCTGGAAACAGGATCCGGAAGACAGGCAGGAGGTAGGGGGAGGTGGGGATTGGGAATTGAAGATTGTGATGCTGCGAGTTATATAGGGCTGTGTGTGAGGGTAGTGGATGCCACGCTTAGCTGTGCTGAGGGTAGTGGGCGCTTTCTAGAGCTTTAGACAGCATCGGGGTTTGCATGATGGGACAATCCTTTCAGAAGCAGTATGGAGGATGGACCCCAGGGATCCAGCGCAGAGCCAGTGGAACAGTTGACAGGACAGGGCCACGACCTCAGCTCCATTCAGGATGGAGAACAGAGATGAGCAGAAAGGATTCTCAGCAGGGCAACAGGTCAAAGCTAGATGAGCTCCTCATCCAGGGCTTAATAGAAGTTGTTCCAGTTCCTGCAGCAAGGGTTACTGTATGGAGTGAATTTGGAGTATAAGGTGACAAGCTGGTTTTGGAGGTGTGAGTTTCCCTTGGGACTTTTTACTCCACTCATTTCTACTCCAAGCCTTAGTCGCACTCAAGAAGAGGGCACTGATGGATCACTAACCTGGAGCTTCCCACAGGTCTAACTGCCCTCAGGCCCTTATAGCTGTGAGGGTCCACCTCTGTCAAGAGGCAACAACTCAAGAATAGGAAGCCTTTCAGTGGGTGGGCTTTTTCCTTCTCACCTCTGGGTCTCCATGAAACTCTGGACAGAGGAGGTCAATGCAAGCTCTGATGGGGTATAAGCACTCAGCAAGGTGGGGCCTCTGAGAAGAGTGATGACAAGATCAATGAGGAGAAAGCCATAGTAGCTCCCATCTGCCTGGCTCCTGCCACTGTGAACCACGGATACTGGCCAAGCAATTGTCAGAATCAATAATGTCATAGTAGTTTGTGTGAAACAAATGACAGATGCAGAGCTGTGCTGCAACATAGCAGCTTAGGATGTACTTAAAGGGTGGGGCCTCTGAGAAGAGTGATGACAAGATCAATGAGGAGAAAGCCATAGTAGCTCCCATCTGCCTGGCTCCTGCCACTGTGAACCACGGATACTGGCCAAGCAATTGTCAGAATCAATAATGTCATAGTAGTTTGTGTGAAACAAATGACAGATGCAGAGCTGTGCTGCGACATAGCAGCTTAGGATGTACTTAAATGTACTTAAAGTCAGAATGACATCGTTCATCACAATGGAGCCATTTCTTTCCTAGAAGGAGCATCTCACTGAAAAGTAATTTCTGCTATATAGAGGAGCCCAGAGCCTCTGTCCAGGATGGGTTCTTGGCTACCAAATACAGCTCCTGACTCAACTTTTAAAAATATAACATTTTGACTAATTTTTTGAGACTTTCATACAGGTACACAATGTATTTTGATTGCACTTACCCCTACTCCTCCCCTTAATTCCTTCCTAACCCCCTCTGAACTTCCTGTTCTAAAAAAAAAAATCTAGGGAGTTCAGTTTGTGCTGCCCATATACTCATGAGTGTAGGGCCATCCCCTGGAGCATGGGACCTACCAGAGGCCACACCCTTAAAGAAAACTTACTCTCCCTCTCCCAGAAGCCATCAACTGTTAATAGCTCCTTAGCTAGGATTGGAGGCTCTTGAGGCTCCCCCCTTTCTGTGATGGAATATTGACTGACTTGATCTGCAGGTCTTGTGCAGGTAACCATAGCTGCTGTGAATTCTGAGTGTAGTGGTCCTGTCATGACCAGAAGATACTGGTTTTCCCCAGTTCTCTTCAACCTCTAGCTCTTACAATTTTTCTACCCCCTCTTCCAAGATGGTTTCTGAGCCTTGGGAAAGGGAATGTTGTGATATAAATATTCCATTCCTGGCTGAGCACTTTACAGACACTTATTATCTACACACTTTTGTCAAACAGCTTCCTGATGTGCTTTCTAGCTTCTGCAAAATTACTTTTTACAGAGGCATATTTTCCCCATGAATACTAATACTGTTATCTAACATTGTACTGGAGGTGTTGGCCAATGCTATAAGGAAAGAAAAACAAATTAGAGATTGGTTTTTAATACTGTAAATGAAAAGACAAGACCATCATTTAAAAATAATTGGTATAAGTTGGACCTGGTGGTACAGGCTCATAATCCCAGCTACTTGGGAGGCTGAGGCAGGAGGATCAAAAGTTCAAGCCTTGCCTGGGCTATAGAGTGTAAAGTCAAGGCCACCCTGGACAGCTAAGTTAGATCCTGTCTCTAAAATAAAAACATTTTTTTAAAAGAGGGACTGGAGGTAAAAGGTAGAGCATTTGCCTAGCATATGTGAGGCCCCAGGTTCAATCTCCAACACTGTGTACACAAAAATTTATAAACCAACTAACCACCAACCAACCAAACAAATAAACAAACCAGCATGAACCAGAATGAGAAAACCAACAACTAAAATAGAATTCAGTAACTTCACTGGATATATACACCAACTTAAAAACATCAACCAAGTTGTGAGTGTAGCTCAGTGACCGAGTGCCAGCCTAGCTGGGTTCAATCCTTAGCACCATTAAATGAAAAAAAGAATCAGCTAAACTCTCCTACATCTATAACTAGAAACCAGAAAATATATTAAGAAAAAGATAGCATTTACAGCATCAGATAATCTGCTAAGTAACTTCTACCTATGGATAGTCAGTACAGGGGTTAAAAATGTGGGCTCTAAAGTGTTTGATTTTAGTCTCTGTTGCTTACTTTCCATGTATTCTTGAGTAAGCCGCTGTTCTCTGTGGTCCAGAGAATTATATATTATAGTCATGCTTTTGGTTTTGAATGAGTGAGTTTGTTAAATATATAGCAAGCAAAAGTAAAACAATAAATACCAAATAGCAGAGGGACAGAATCAGCAAATAATAAACATCATCAAATCATCCCCAGCAGAGATTACGGGGTTAGCCTGATTGAGAGAGCAAAGTAATATAATCGAATCCAGGGTTAACAGCATTCAGCAGAAGTCGACTGGGGTGGTGGAGGCAGCCAGCTGGAGTTCTAGGTTGAGCTTTCTCTCCCTGGATGAGATGGATGAGCTTCCCTTCCTCACCTCAGGCATTTTTATACCACAAGATAAGCAACAGTGATGCCAGTCGGAAACGATTTGCCTTCTAGCTGTTCTTAAGGACACGATGTTTTTAGTTCTCTTTGCTTCTTGCTGTTGTTACAGAGTCTGGGGCTGGCCTGACTCAGGGAGAAACCAGGGCTTTCTTAGTCTCCATCTTTTCTCATCAAGCACATGGCAATTTACTTGCATACTTTGCAGGTATTTACTTATCTTTCTGGGTTCGGTTTCTTCTCAGGAAAACAATGACAATAAAAATACTATAAGTATAGGTTTGTTGTGATTATTGTTTGAGTGAATGTAATTATGGAGGAGTCTTCAGAAGAAAATGTATTATTAGTCAAATACAACATAATTTATTTAAATAATTCTAGGCCTTTGAGAGGATTCCTTGAGTGGAAGTTCTCAATCTATAAAAATATATTTTTCTTCTAATTAATTCACATATTCAGTAGAATCACAATGCAAATACTTTTTCTGAAAACATTTATAAGAAGCCTACTCTAAAATATTTATACAAGATTTAAGTCCACAAATATCTAAGCTAAACTTTTAAAGGAACAATGAACAGCCAATTAGCCCTGTCAGTTATGGGCAAGGTTCAAAAACAAAGCAATAGTAATAAAAAGAGTTACTGGTAAAAGAACAGACATATGAACCATTGGAAATAATAGAAAAAATAGAGACAGACACTATACGTGTGTTTAGTGTAAGATAGGGATGATGCCGTGATCGATGAGGAAAGCATGAAGCTTTCAGTAAAGAACACTCACTGGTGCTTCTGTTTGCAGCCATTGCGGAAACAGCAGTGACCAAGACACACTTAGATCCCTCTGTGACTTCTGACAGAAGGAAGAACCATGTAAGGCATTCCTATGCACCTTCCCACAGTCACAAGAAGATCATGAAAAGAACATATTTTAAAAATAGTACACATTGTGGCTAAAGAGATGGGCTTAGCAGTTAAGAGTACTGGCTATTCTTCCAGAGGACCAAGTTTACTTCCTCTGCCTAGTAACTGTCCAAAACTCCAGAGGACCCAGTGCCTTCTTCTGGTCTCTGTGGGCATTGTACAGCATGGGTACACTTACATGAAGGCAGAATACTCTTACACATAAAATAAATAAATAAATAATATTTTCTTCACCTATGTCTAAACTATTGCCAAATTCATTTATTGAAGATTTAATTTCAGTTACTATATTTTTCAGTTTTTAAAAATTTCTACTTGGTTTTGAAAAATTATATAGATTTCACTTCTTTGAAACCGTCCATCTTTTCATTTTCTTTATCAGTCATATTATATTATGAATCAGAGCATTATAGAATCTGGATAATTTATGTCTGTTTCTAATGTGCATTTCCTCCCTTGTCCCTGTCTCTCTCTGCCTGGTAATTTTTGAATTAATGTTAGACATTCCATGTGAAAAACTATTGAGGTGCTCAGTGATGTTAGCTTAGTCAGAATAAAAGCAGAACCCCTTAAACTCATCAGGGACCAAGGTGTCTGAGGCTGCATTTTGATGCTTGTAAAAGCTAGTCAACTGGTAAAAGG